ATATATATGCTCGGAAAAAAATCTTTGATTTGATAAATTTCAGGAAAGAGCCTTAGTTTTTCAAAATAACAAAAGTAAACCGCCAACAATATTTCATATAATTGAAATCTTCTCTTTTTACCTTTTTGAAAAGAGAAGATTCAAAAGAATCAAATCAAATCATCTCATTTTATCTAATCAAATCATATAATTGAATCAGTTCAGCTAATTAAAACAAATAATTTTAATTGCTTATGCCTCAAGATAACTAAAACATTACAATGAGGTAGTTGAATATGAGGTAGAGAAGATGACTAAAGTTAAAGTTAGTAAAAGATTATGATTACATGATCAATTACTATGCTAAGAAAGTAAATATAGTTATTGATGCAATGAGCAGAAAGTCAACAAATTTAACCACTTTATTAACTGCTCAATCACCTCTCTATATAGAAATGTAAAAATTTGAATGTAAAATTGGTAGCACTATCACTACAACCAACCCTTTAAGGAAAACTAAAGAGTTACAAGTTAATGACCCTTATTTGAACCAAATAGAGTATAAGATCGAGATAGAAAAAAAAAAAACTTTTCACATTGATAAAGAGGTAATCAGATTTCAGGGTAATTGTGTGTACCAGAGGAACCAGGTATAAAATAAAAAATTTTAACAGAAGTACACTGATCTTTATACTTAGATCACACTAGGAAAACTAAGATATACAAGGATATGAAAAAGCACTACTAGTGGTTAGGAACGAAGAAAGATATCATCCAATTTGTTCAAAAATGTCTCACGTATCAACAAATCATAATACAAGATTAGAAGTTATTAGATATTGAAAAGTCCAGGGTAGTAGTGAAATAACAGAAAACAAAATTACAAATTTTCTACAGAAATGATTTCATCATCGTGCGAAGATTAATACGTAAAAATCATAAAATTAAAATATATATATATATATATATGAAAGATATGTTATTTAGAATATATATATATATATATATATATATATATGAAATTGTATATATGCTTTGCTATCATCTAAGTGAATAAATTTAATATTTCTCTGACTCGTTAATCTATAAAAAAAAAAAAAGTATTCTTATCTCCATTCACCAGCCAATGATATTTATTCTTAACCCATCATTTCGAATAGATTTATATATTAAGAGCAATCATCTTGTTATAAAGACATGAGACAGTGCAATATATAGCTTTGGATACCAAGCCAAGAATTCCCAATTAAATCAATAATCTCATGATACCCCAGCCATATAGGTTCAAAATGAAAGAACTTGACTTTATGATGATCTCCATTGCAATCTTTCACCTTAATGAGTAAATACTACTGATCAGAAGCAATACGAGGTAAAATAAAATACAAAAGTATCCACAAATAAGACATTCTAAGAATCATTAATCAGAATCTATCTAAACTGGCAGCTATTATCTTTATCAAATCTATGATTACACTAAGTGAAACAAGGTATCAACAAACCAGCATCTAAGAGACTAACATTAGAAATAAAATTTTACACATCACAACATGCTACTAAGAGTAAGAACAATACTTGATACATAGCCGAGAGTAACCGAGAAGATCTTTATTAGAAAACTTAAATTTTCGATAGAATAGCATTTAAATCATTACAAAGCAACCAAGCAGGAAGAGCAAGAACAAGGACATATTATTTATATACTGAGTTGTTATTAATTACATCATGACATATTATTTATATATTGAGTTAATATATGATCCTTTTGAATCCTCATTAAATTTTTTTAGAAAATTAAATTCTAATTATCAAAAAAAATATTGATAGAAACTTTGAGATCAAATCCTACTTTCACCGTTTACATTTATAAAAAATATATTTTTTAAATATTTAAATCCTTCATAAATGTCCTATCACTCGTTTAATAAGATAAAATTAATTACTAGTGATCATAGTTATTAATGAATTTAAAAACATTAATATTTAAAATATTTTTATCATTTTCATGGAATATTGGACTCCTTTCCTAAACTTAAATTTGTCTTAATTAGTCAAATGGAAGAATACTAATGTAAAGAGAAATACATAGTAGTCTTGAAAGAAATTAATGTCAAAATATACAGGGGTATCTATATATGTGAAATTATTCTGGAAGGATATATATATATATACATATACATATATATACATATACATATATACATATATACAATAATTATCTATATATACATGTATATATATATATATATACATATAAATAGGTTCAATAATCATGTACTCGTTTTATGTCCCCGAAATTTGATATAGCAAATCCGGTGAACTATCCATCACATAAACCACGTTGGAATACCGAGAACCATGGCTTAGGTCCGACTCAGCACTTGCATGACGTTGCTGGAGTCACGTGGTGCCAGGAAACTGTACCGTGGGAATCTCCGTCGTCGAACGTTCACGAGTCCCTCTTCCTCTCCTTTCCCAAGAGGGGCTCCTCCCTGTCACCTATTTTTTTTCTGCCTCGTATCGGTTACCAGCGTCGCCTGCCATCGTCTCTCCTCTCTCGCGATCGCGAGGGGTATTGGTGTTCTAATTCTCCGTCTCTCTCGCTTTGGCGCACTCCATGGAGGCTGGCGATTCTGGGTTGCTTGCCGGGGCGGAGATCCACGGCTTTCGTACTGTCGCAGGTTCGTTACCTCTTTTGGTCGAATTCTAGGGTTTGGCGGTCGAATTATTGACTCTTGGGTGTTCCCTCGAGCTTGATTACTCTTATCTTTTTGCATTTTTTGTTTCACAAATTAGGCTAATCTTAGAAAACATTCCAGCTACTGATCAAGATTGTGCTCTTTCATGTGGTTGGTATTTGTGCGCAATGAATTAGTAATATGGAGATCCTGGCTTGAGTGCATTTTCTCTTGTTTGCTTCCGAGCTTTGTAGAATCAGTCTCGAGGAAAACTGTACTCAAAGCCTGGGATGATTGCGGTCTTTAGAACGTCGCTCTCCCTCCTGTCGAGATTAGATCATGACTTAATTGGCAATGAGGATCTTATCGTTTTGTAGTCAAATTTCCATGTATATAATAACGCCTCCGATACTGCCATTGTTAATCTCTTTGCTCATCATTCTTCTTTTAGTCTTTTACGTTATTCTACAGTTTTTGTTTTATAGCCTTAATTCTTTTGGAAAATTTGTGGTCCAAACTACTATATATACTACATTTGCCAGACTTTGGCATATTCTATATGAATGATACTGCAAAGCATCAGCATCAGCATGAGGGTGATTTGTCATAATTGGACTGGTGCCCATTGACAACTGAACTCCATGAGATGGAAAACCCAGTAAACATAGAGAGAGACATCTTTTTGAAGTCACATTAACTACCTTGTTTATGTCCTAACCAAGATCTTTTCTTAAGCCCTTTTCTCATGAAAATATTCCTTGCTCAATAATTTTTAAGTATGACATGATTTGACATGAAAATATTCCAAGCTCTTCCCCATCTCAACATGGAGCTCGTTGGTGGTGGTTGCCGCCTACCTTTCTGTTGCTTGCCGAACTCCACTGACCTCATTTCGGGTATTCATTTTCCTCGTGTTCCTCCGGTGCCTCCTTTTGATCCTTCCTCTTTCTCCCCTACCTCTTCATCCTTCTTCCTCTTCCTTCACTGTCTCCTCTTCTTCCTTCCCCTTTGTCCTTCATCCTCTTTCTTCACTGCCTTCTCTTCTTTCTTCCTTTCCCTCCTTTCCTCTTCCTCTTCACTTTCTTCTTCCTCTTCGGTACATACAAGGTTCATTCTATGAAAAGTATATTTTATATATACTTTTGAGTAGTAGTAGATAAAATATGAAAGATAATTTACAAAAGCATAAACATGCACATAGAAAGATATTATCAATAAAAACTGCTGCTGTAGTAATTGTTACCATGCCAAATGCTACAAGATGTGATGTTAAATATATACTTATAAATTTAGAAATATACAAGAGGTCTTTCACGAGATTGCATACAAGTGCAAAAGTTTTCGAACAGAAACTCTCTTGAACTTATAGGACTTAACTCTCATTATTCCAAGTATTTTAAGGTTTGTATCTAGGTGGAAGGAAAACTGTAATGCTGAACTTGGGTAGAAACTCCTCTCCCTTCTTTCTTCAGCTTCCTTTTTATAGATAGTGGAGGATATTTTTGGATTTACTTTTTATTCAGTTTGTGAGTTCATCTCCTATTCTTTCGTGATGTCCTTTTGAAGGATTCACCATATTTGTTTTATATGATGAAGGGGATGTGTTGTTTCTTCCATGACTCATTTGAATGCTTAGCTGTTTATCAACTTTTATCAGAGAATAACCTGTCTTATTTGACTTTTATCAAGAATCTATCTTGTTTATATTTTATCAAGCTTATGATAATTTTGATAATAAATTAAGTACTAAAGATAATGAAAAAGATATATATGAAATTGCTAAAGCTAGGGAAAGAAAGTGTAAGGATTTAGGTAATATTAGATGCATTAAAATGAAGATCAAAGAATAATTGTTAATGATAATGAGATTCAAGAAAGATGAAAAAAATTTATTTTTATAAATTACTTAATGAATATTTCACATAGGACTTAGATTTAATAATAAATAATACTGATATATTTAATAATCATAGATTTATTCATTAAATTAGAGCTAATAAAAATAGATTTATTAAATAAGATGAAAATAACTAAGAGTGTAAGGCCTGATGGTATCCCTATTGAGGTCTGAAAAAGTTTATGGGACAAGGGAGCAGCTAGATTAACTAGCTTATCTAACAAAATCATGAGATTTGAAAAGATGCATGATGAATGAAGAAAGAGTTTTTCAATGTCAATTTACAAAAATACGGATAACATACAAAACTATTTAAATTTTAGAGAAATTAAAATGATGAGCCATACTATGAAAGTTTAGGAAAGACTTATCGAAAGTAGGAAAAGACTTAAGACAAATATTTTTGAAAATCAATTTGGTTTTATATCGAGAAGATCCACCATAGAAGCTATTTATTTATTAAAACTATTAATGAAAAAGTATAGGGAGAAAAAGAAAGATTTGCATATGGTTTTACTAACTTAGAGAAACCCTATGATAGAGTTCCTAGAGATTTATTACGATGAGTTTTAGAATAGAAAGACATATCCACTAATTATGTTTATGTTATTAAAGATATGTATGTTGATGTAGTTATTAGTGTTAGAACTATAAGGAGTGTGCTTAATGAGTTTCCTATTAGCATAGGATTACACCAAGGATCTTCATTTAGTCTCTTCCTCTTCACATTGATAATAGATAAACTTATTAATCACTTATATGATAGATCTCCCTAGTGTATGTTATTTGCTGATGATAATCATGATATTGTCTTTATTGATGATATCTTAAGTGGAATTAATTATAAACTCGAGCTATAAAGCTAAGCCTTAGAAAATAAAGGTTTTAGATTAAGTAGGACTAAAACTGAATATATAAAATGCAATTTTAGTGATTCTAGAAATTGACAAGAGAATATAGTTAAATTGAATGGATAAGAAGTCCCTTTAAGTAAAAGCTTTAGGTATCTTGGATCGATTATTCGACAAGATGGAGAAATCAATGAAGAGATATTTAATAGGGTAAAAACAAGACGGTTAAAATGATGAGGGGCGTTAAGAGTCTTGTTTTTTTATTGGATACCTTTAAGATTAAAAGAAAAAAAATAAAACAATTGTGTGACCAATATTCTTTATGGATTTGAGTGTTGGATGGTTAAGAAAAAACATATACAAAAAGTTTGTGTTATCGAGATGAGAATGTTGATATAGATGTATGGAATTAATAAGAAAGATAAGAAAAAAAATACTTTTATTCGTGAACAACTAGGTATCACTTCGATAAAGGATACGATGAGAGAAAATCGATTAAGATGGTATGAGCATGTGTTGAGGAGACCTCTGGATGTGGTAGTTATCAAAGGTGTAATAATGAATGTTAGTGGTATGATGAGAGATAAAGGAAGACTTAAAAAGACCCTAATAGAAACTATAAATAAAAATTTAAGTACTCTGAACTTAACAAAGCATATGACTTTTTACAGATCTCAATTGCAGCAAAAGATTTATATAGCCGACTCCAACGGCTTTATTGTTGTTGTTTTTGTCTTATATCCTGAGTAATCATCTTGATAAGAATATTATTTATTATCATCCTCTTTTGATAGTGAAAAATAGTTGCGTCTCCGGTCTTGTTCTAGTCTTGTTGACCCCTTTTCTTGTGAATGACTTATAGAACCTTTTTTCTAGTGTTTGACTAAAGCATGAAGTTCCTTTTTTGATAAAGATGTTGCTAACCATGGAGTCCCTTCCATGATTTTGAACATTGTTTTATAAACCTTTACCTATAAATCTTTTCAGATAAGGTAGGATTTTTGATTCTTATCTCCTCTATAACTTTCTCTTTAAGTTCAAAAATACTTCTGGTAGGTGCTTTGGGTAGCATTTGACTTGTAGAATGAATTTTGGATTAAATTTATCTCACCATTTTATGAATATTTTTCTGGTAAGAAATAAGAAAATACTCTTTGTTGATATTAAATTTCTATTTTACTATCCATGATAGATTTATTTCATAGTAGAATTACATGATCAAATATGGTTGTTTATGCAATTCTTTGTAAAAATTTTATGGATTTTCTTTCGAAATTCTTTGTAAATATCAGCCAACATAGATAGTAGAACCATATAGGAGGGTCTTAGTTTTAATTTAAATAAAATAGGAACCAAGGATTTTAATTTCGAATGATTCTGCCCAATACGGGCAGTACGTACCGGTCTGCCAGCAGACTAGTACACGGACCGCCTGCTACCGGGTGATATTAGCTTGGCTACGGCGAAGGAAGAAGAAGTGTCGAGGGACAACCTGGCTATGGCGAGGGAAGAAGTGTCGAGGGAGAAGAGGGAGAAGGCGCTCGAAGAAGAGGGAGAAGAAGAGGGAGAATTGGGAGAACCTCGACGCTTTCTGATCCGGCGCCACCCTCCCTCGATGATCCCGATCCAGGAGGTAACGGAGAGGCGACGGCTCGACGCCTTCTTCGTCGTGCCCTTCGCCCAAGGCCCAAATATGCCTGCGGCCTTCGCCACGTTCTTCGCTGAAGGCTGGAGACATCTGTGGCCTTCGACGTCTTTGCCGAACGTCGTAGATGAGGAGAAGATCGCATTCTTCTCCTTGTCGCATCGCACCGAAGGCCGGAGACGTCTGCGGCCTTCGACGTCTTCGTCGAATGCCACAGATGAGGAGAAGACCACGTTCTTCTCCTCGTCACGTCACGCCGAAGGCCGGAGACGTTTGCGACCTTTGACGTCTTGGCCGAACGTCACAGATGAGGAGAAGACCGTGTTCTTCTGCTCGTCGCGTTGCGCCGAAGGTCGGAGACATCTGTGGCCTTCGACGTCTTCGCCGAATGCCGCAGATGAGGAGAAGAAAAGGAGGAGACGTCACTGAGGCAACGTACGCCTCCTTTTTTTAATTTTTTAATATTATATATATATATATCGAGTGGTACACCTTGGTGTACTGTTCAAAATACCGGTACTGTATGAAATTAAAAACCTTACCAGTTACATATAAATTGATTATTTTGAATAAGCAAGGTATTAAAACATGCATTTTGATAATCCCAATAGTTGTATTTATGTCTTCATGGGATGTCTCGAGAAAAGGTTTGAATATATTAGGATTCTGAGCTATATTCCAATACTTTAATGTCAGAATTTTCACAGTTCATTTTGGATGAAGATTTGAATTGTTCTGATGGTAAATGTTTCATACTGTCAAACCATTTCCTACAAAAAAGATTCAACAAACTTTTTTTCCACTTCAATGAAGAACCATTTATTTGGACCTTATAAGCTATTTAGAGGACGGGTAGTTAGAAAAAAATATTCTTCTAGCTAAAAAACCGAAAGATAAAAAACAAATAATAGCTCAAATAAAGATTTTTATTTGATGGAAGAAGTCTATTAAAAGATACAGTAAGGAAAAAAAATGCAAACAAGTGATTCTTGATGACCTAATCAAAGAACTAAATAGTATTAAAAGGAACTGCAAACCTTAAAATAAAGAAAATAGTTACTTGAACTCAAGGAGGGACCTGAAAGGATTTTTGAACAAGACCTAGATGAAGACATTAATAAGCCCTTAGAAGAAGCCTTTGAGTTTATAAACACTATAGAAAAATATTATAATTAAAAATGACACAACAATGTTCTATATAAGCTAAAAGATGGGTTTCCGTTTAGACATAAAACCCTCAAAGTCTCGAAGCTGATGTAGATTGCATAAGAGGAGGACTCATTCTCTTAAATACCTCGAAAAATCTATCCTCAAGATTCATGCTGCGAATGGTGCTATTCTTAAAGTCAACTATAAACTCCTTAAGGTTCATGTTTGCTTTCAAGGACCTGACTTCTTGCTGACTTGTCTGCATTCTAGAATCACCTTTCTTCTCAACCCTAAGACCCTTTGCTCAGAAGGCATGTTTACCATAATTAATGATAAAGGAGTCATAAGATTTTGTACCAAACCTGTGCATCAGCCAAAGAAGCTATATCATACAAAGAAAAAATTTATAAACAATTTAACAGCTAAGATAGGAAATACAAGGATATAAAAGACTCTTGATGATTCTATATTCCAAAATAGGATACAACAACTAAAAGAAAATTTTGAACAAGATATTTGCGGTGACCATCCTTTGGTGTTTCGGCACCGAAAAATGCAAGATGTTTCCTACCATATATATCTAATTTTGAAGAGCACCAGAAACTTAATATTTACTAAGGCCAGACCAGTACAGATGAATAAGTGATAACTAGAAATCTGCAAACATAAAATGTCTAACCTTTTAGACAAAGGACTTATCAGGAAATGTCCTCTCTAGAGTTGTGCTGCATTTTATGTAGAAAACACAGCCGAAAAAGAACTAGGGGTTCCTAGACTAATCATCAACTACAAGCCCTTAAATAAGGTTTTACAATGGATTATACATCCTATTCCACATAAACAAGACCTTATTAGAAGAATCCAAGGATAATGAGGCCTTTCAGATTAAAAAATGCTCCTTCAGAATTTCAAAAAATCATGAAAGAAATCTTTCTTCCATATACTACCTTAATCATAGTTAATATTGATGATATTTTGATCCTCTCAAAAAATTTTGACCAGCATTGGAAAGTGGAAACTTCTTAATATTTTTTATAAAATCATCACAAAAATGATTTGGTGATATCCTTACAAATAAATATTTAATTTGTACTTTAGTAGGATATAAAATAAAGCTTAATCATAAATTCTGTTAGTAGAGTGATTCATTTTGTTGAAAGATTCACCAATGAGATGAAAGACAAAAGACAACTACATTGATTTCTTAGATGCATGAACTACATTTCTAATTTTTATCAAGATCTTGCTAAAGATAGAAAGATTCTCTCGGGCAGGCTAAAGAAGACTCCACAAGCTTGGAGCAATAGACATACTGAAGCAAAGAATCAAAGTTCAAGGTAAAAAGATTACCTTGCTTGTGAATCATAGACCCAAATGTATCTAAAGTAGTCAAAACAGATGAATCAGAAATAATAATATATAGGGGAATCCTTAAGGAGATCCTGAGCAACAAGTAAAATTTACTTTGGGAACATTATATGAAACACATAAAAGTTATTATACTATTATTCTATTAAAAAAGAGATACTTGTCATTGTCAAAGTGATCAGCAAATTTTAAGATAAATTTTTAAATGAATAGTTTCTTTTAAGAATATATTGCAAGGCCTCTAAAGATGTTTTACAAAACAATGTTGAAATCTTAGTATCTAATTCCCACTTCTCAACTCTTTTTCTTTTTGTTCTTTATTATTAATATTGGATAACTCTAATTGAATGATATCAGATCTGTCCCCTTAGATTTCATTTCGTTCATTTTGAAAAAATTATTTGGACACAAAACTTGCTTATGTTATTAATTTAACTTTTTTTTTATAATTGTTTTAATGCTTCATTTATACCCAAGTTCCCATTTTCTTCCCTCGATGATGGCTCAAATGACAGCATGACTGCCTTTCAACCAAAAATCTCAATGACTTGAAGGCAAGGAATTACATGTATGACCACCACTAATCTACCAAATATCATTACGGTTCTAGAGAATCTTATTTCCATATTTTAATGTCTTGCAAGAAGCTATCAAACTTGGAATGTGTGCAGAACTATGGACTTTCAAGTGGCAAACCATATTTAGAAAAATTCTATATGGTGTTCATTGCTAAAGCTTTTGACTGACCTGGTACCTAATGATCTTACATTTGTGAAGTTGTTTTGGACCTAAGGAATAAAATTTTTGTAGAATGATATTTTAGTTTGTTTGTAATGAAACCTCTTATGAATAATTGGTTTTTGCTTTTGTTTTTTGTATATATTATCAAACCAATATGCGTTCTCGACATCAACTTCTGTTACTAGAAATATTTGATTGTCCTATGCACTAACCACTGTTTTCAAAATTTTTCTTGTAGTTCTAGTGTTGTGCTTTTCCTGACTATGCTGCTTAAAATATTTTTATCTTTTTGGCTCTTTTGACAGATTTGGATATAGAGAAATTATTTGAAGATGCCTCAACAAGATGGTTTCGCCCCAATGAAGTCCATGCAATATTGTCGAACTACACTCTTTTTAAAATACAACCCCAACCTATTGATAATCCAACAAGTATACCAATGACTCTTAACCTTGTATCAAAAATTGCTTTATACATTTTGAAATGTGTTTTTCCTACTTGTTCTAACTTCTTTGAAGAATATTTGACTAATAAATTACAGGCATACCAATACTGTAACAACATTTTGACTGTTCTGTCATCTTCGTATATGTATATAGTTGTATAGTTTTCTGTTGAAATGTTCTCTATTTCCTAAATTGGAGTCAACTTAAGTATTTGTAGGGTCAGCAACTATGGAGTAATCACGTCTGAAAATTTTGGAGGGTAAAGATTTTAAGGAGACAATGTTCATTTTGGTCCTCTATTATCTGTCAACAGTTGCATTCATCCGCTTCTCATCATTGCAACATTTGTTGTTCAACACTATGCAACACAAAGAGTAAAGGGTTTAGGGAGAGGCAAGGATGTAAAGTAGCCCTTAGCCTTGCAACAGAATAACGATACGATGACAGAGAAGAGATGCTATGATAGTTGAGATTAACTTAAATCTATGATTATTTCATTTGCGTGGTTGCAAATTTCCAAAAAGAAAAATGAAAGAAATTTCTTTACCAGTTTCTGTAGGATCCAGTACTTTCACCTATGTGGTGAGTAGAGAAGCATTTGGAGGCCAAAAGTGCCATCACTATTTTTAAAGCTCTGAGCAAATATGTTTGGGTCTTTTTGCATTACACATATTTGATAGTTATTCATTACAATAATATTTTTATTATATAATTCATATATTTATCATATCATTAGAAATATCATAATTATTTTTCCAATGAACTATCTTTCAATGTTCGTAGTTATTATCTTTTATGCAATTTTTATTTTAGTATTTATATTTGGAATATTAGATATCTAATGGAATAGAGAAGTAAAAAAAATCTTTTGGCATTACTTTTTCTCTTTTCAAGTTTTTGTTTTTATAATTTCTGTGTTTCTTATAATTCTTATTGTCAAGTCAGTTTCTCGGTGGATCCAATATCATGAATCCAATCTAACTCAATCATATTTCCCGTGTGATGTCAGTCCCAGTTTTACAAATCTTTGTTTACTCGATGAAAGAGTGTAAACCATAAGGGCATGTGTGTATGTGAACTAGTGACATGAGAAATAAGGGTTGTGTGTACTGTAGGTAGTAGTGTTCAAAACTTAAAAACCATGTACTGTAGGTAGAAATTTCAGGGGCAAGAAGTTACTCAAAAGTTTGTAGGGTTCAAAACTTAAAAATATAGCCCATTACCCTTTCTTAGAAAAGCTACCACTAGTAGTCTATAGACCAGAGGCTACCATCATTCTAGCAAGCCTGAGTGTAAGGGTTCGATTGGCATGGTACAAGTAGTGGAATCTGAACCAATGCCAAAAGTGTCTGCATCACGGATATGGGGCCTTTCAAATGGCCCCAAATAAGTAAAATATCTGGTGATTTCTTGATAGTTAACATCTTAATATTTCTAATATCCTTACTAGGAAATTTTGGGTTTTCTCTCTTATGAGTTATATTCAATTTTCATAGCTGACATCATTTGCTGAATAAAATAGTTACATTTAGGTCTCTTAACTTCTTGATTGTCTTGAAATGTTATTTTTGTTTATCATGCAATTTTTTTTGGCTTGGGCTCAGCTATGATATTGACATCATTACTGCAGTGTCTTTCTATGTTCTTTAAGGAAGTAAGCTTATGAAATCTATTACTTGTTAGCCACTATCAACTTTAGATGCTGATATCAGTACCTTTTATTTTCATCTATCTTAGGTGGCAGGGTATTGTTATTTGACCGTAAAATGCTGAGAAACTTCCGTAAAGATGGCCACAATTGGAAGAAGAAAAAGGATGGAAAGACAGTTCAAGAAGCTCATGAAAAACTGAAAGTTAGACTACATTTGATGCAAGGCTTTGATAATATTGTTTTCATGTACTTTGCTTGTGTTTGAGCATCCAACCTTTCCATTGATTTTTGATTTGTGATTGATTTCAAGATGTCTCGTAATTTGATTTTGATGACGCCATTTTTAAATAATAATGGAAATTTCAAGTAGTCAATTAAACTATAGGACAGCATGGTTCTAAAATCTTGGAAAAGTACATGTATCATCTATTCTACATGTAAATTAAAGTTTCTAATATATGCTAAATACTCTTCAGTTTCCAAAATTTATAGCACTGTTTTATTACAAGCCTAATATAAATAGAAAAAGAAAGTTATAATTGTCGAAAGAGATGTAAACATGCAATAGTATTTATATTTAGTGCAGTCTTTCATTTTATTGCTAGATATTTGTGATGATTTATGGGCCTTCCAATTATCGGTCATTGGTCGAACCGGTAAATGCCGATCAATACATAACTATTTGATTGGTACCTAAATCCTTGAATAGCATAAAAGAACGTATCTAGTGCTCGAGGCTCCCACCAATGCAAGGTCTGGAGATGGTTAATGTACGCAGCTTTACCTTTAAATATTTAAAGAACTTGTTTCCGTGACTCGAACCCTAGTCTCCTAAGTCACTAAGGAGCAATCTTACTATTGTACTAAGACCCACCCTTACCTAAGTCCTTGAATGTACTTGCTAATTAATAACGGACCTCTTTTTTTAAAGAAAAACCTATTTGTGGATTGTCACAGTGTTGTTCCATATTGCTGCCTGTTATGTTCATTGGTAATGTTGTTTTGGCCTTCCTCATAATTTTTCATGATTATGTGGTGCCTTGTTCCCTTGAGAATCTCACTTTAAGATACTCTGGTGGTTCCTTTCTTTACCCTGCTGTTTCTATGTGACTAACTGTAGATTATGTAGCTTCTTTATTTTGTTTTATTCTCTTACATTTTCATCTTCATCTGTATAACTTGCTTTTATCATCATTCTTATGCACAATCTGAATATCAATACCTGACCCATGCAAAATCTCCACTCACTTGTGTATTGATCTATGTTACAGATCGGTAATGAAGATAGAATCCATGTTTATTATGCACGCAGCGAATATGATCCTAACTTCTACCGTAGGTGCTACTGGCTACTAGATAAGTATGTTCTGTTTATGTCCATCTTTCTAAATTTTGCTTTTGGTCAATAGCTATACCTTTCTCTGCAGCATGTTTTTCTTCTAGCCATTTTGGTGCTTGAATCTACTAGGACAAGGTGAACATATGTCCGCTGTCTGCACAAAGAGTCTTTTATTTGCTATAGGTGTTGCATGAGTATTTTCGTTCAAGTTCTTTTTGTCATTCATAATATTTTCTCAAGTTTAAAACAGGTTTAGAAGGAATTTCTGAGTTCATGAGATGAGGCCAAGGCCGATTCTTATGTCCCACAAATCTAGATATTCTGAATTGCTACCAGACCCCTGAAGCATGAAAATTATGGCCTTTGTTATTGCTCTTATAGTTCTTATCCTGTAAAACCTGTATGAGGTTCCATTTCATGTTCGTTGTGTTAAAATTTGTGGTTCTGTTTCATGTACATACATGGTGACTGGAAAAGTTTTGATTTAGAATCCAAGATTGTAATATGTAAGGTGTCGTTAATATGGAATCTTTCGATTAAATGATTTATTAAGTAGTTTGGGCAGGTCATTCCAGTTCTGCAGTTGTTTTAGACAGTGTGAGTGCATGACATGGGAAACCTGAAAAATACAATATGACCAGCATAACAGCATATTGCGATAGTGAGCAGCATAACAGCATATCAAGTTGATCTTTTGTTGATCTAAGGCTTCTTATGAACTCAAATTCCAATTTCATAATTTTTATAACTTCATTACATAAAATATATTTTTAAATTTTAATTGCTATTTTTGTACTTGTGCCTGGATATCCATTTTGTCTTCTTGTTGATATAAATTAGAGAGGAGAGTAAGAGACTAGTAGAGTAGTGAAGATGCATGTTTTTCATTTAAATCTAAAGTGTTTGATCCATTGACAAGCTCCACTATTTATAGGTGCTAGTCATAGGTGGCCAGCAAGCCAATCACGTGAGTGATGACACATGTGATTTGACACATAATTTTTTTGTTTATTATATTTTGACATTTATTACTTTATATTGACTATTGCATATATACATGTATATATTGTGATGTCCTTGGATCTGTGCAATGAGAATCGGATCGTGATGAGATCACGATAATGAGATCGATTCGTCTTTAAACACATATCCTAAATAATCCCGATCATAGGTTACTCGAGAGTGACATCGAGATAATCAGACAGATGGTGTGCTGTATACCCGTCCATATGATCGATGCAGCTGGTCTCATAGTTGCTCGTGTGGGGACACTAGGGATACAGTATATGTGCTTATTGGAAAATGAGTTTACTGATTGATCCGCTTACGGAATGCTGGATGGTTGATGATACCTTATTGTCAGACAACGATTTCGTAGTCCTAGTGGTGTATCTAGTCCTTAGACTTGAGACACCAAGGGTGTCCTGTATGAGTGCTCCATTCTTTGATACTGGACTTATAGGTTTGGATGTCTCAAATCTTGTACAACCGATCATTTGGAGTGGTAGTCAACCTTACGAGGGCTATTGAGTATCGATAGAGAGGATCATCCACTCTCGGTGTCATGATAAGAATATCCCATGTGTTCTTGCTCAAACAAATCCCTTGCCAGGGTTATTCAGATTGAGAGAGAAAGAGTTCTCCGGGAGAATCCGATTAGAGTGAGATTCGAGTAAAAACCGTATGGGTCTGACAGCACCATGTCCGGTATACTGTCTCTAAGATATTAGATGGATGAGGGACTATAGGTACATGGTAACTGAGGACAGATAGGTCTAATGGATTGGATTCCCCTATATCGTGTGGGGACTGCGGCATTGTGGCCTAGTACATCCGCAGTCGATGAGTCGAGTGAATTATTATGAAGATAATAATTCACTAAGCCAGAAGGAGTTCTGACAGGTATGACTCACGGCCAGCTCAATATTGGACCTAGAGGGTCACACACATATGGTAGGCACTGTGATGAGTAGAGGTACGTATATGAGATATCCGTCGGAGCCCCTATCTTATTGAATATCCAATAAGCCCATGAATTATTGGATCCTATGGATGAGATCCAATAAGAGCATATGAGAGATTATTGGATAGAGATCCACTAATCTAAGAGGCTTGGGTAGTTGGATGCAGATCCAATACCCAATAGGGGAGGATCCATTAGGGTTTGACAGGGGACCTCTATAAATAGGAGGGATTTAGTGGTTCCAGAGGCTAGAGCCTTTGCTTGCCTCTCATATTCTCCTCCCCCTCTCCACCTCAGAGTAGGCCTGGAGTTTTGAGAAGCGTCGTCGCAACCCTGCTGTGTGAATCACCGCTAGAGAGGAGGACACTTGACCTCCTTCACCCTCTCCTAGTGATTTGCGGGGATTCAGAGATATACAATTTCCCTAGGTAACACAATCTATTCTATACGCAGTTTTAAATTTTGTAAATTTTTGCGCATCAATCTTCACACGACGACGAACATCTCTTTGGGAATAGGGGATTTTGTTTTTTGTTCTTCCGCTCCGCATGTGATGTCGCCCCCAAAGATTTCTCAACAATAGGGGTTTAGGAGCTTTAATACAATTTCTAAGGTACCGAAACAATAAAGAGTGCATTTAATACAAAAGTGGAGTCTAAGGTTAGCACCTAAAAAGACTTTAATTTTTCATACAACTCTTAGAGTTTCTAGGCCAATTAATTGATGACTTTTTGTTGATTTCTTTAGGTAGAATAAACTTTTTTGAAATATTTTATAAAGCTAGATGGTTCTTTATCATTCTCCTATAGTGGAAAAGAATTCGATCTGGGAGAGTGATTTGCAAGGTTTTGGTCTAATCGGTCTAGTGCAAAGTCATAAAGTTCCTCTAAAGTAATCCAAGTGGTATCAAAAGTTGGACGATCACATCACTTAACAAGAAAGTGTTAAGTTATGCTAATAGTAGATGTAACAAGGCGGTCATCAAGAATGGCTAGTACGCTATCCCTGTGTTGTGAAAGAATCAATACTTCGGGAGGATTGTCGCATATGGTAACTATAGGGAAATCTAGGGGCGACATCACATGCGCAGCAGAAGAACAGAAAACAAAAACTCCAAATTTCCCAAAGAGGGGGTTCGTTATCCTGCGAAGATTGGCGAACAAAACCCGTGAAACATAAATCCACATGAGAGATAATTGTGTTTTACCTAAGGAGATCGTATATCCTTAAATTCCTGCAAATCTGTAGGAGAGGATGAAGGAAGTCAAGCACTCTCCTCTCTAGCGGTGATTAACACAGTAGGGTTACAATGACACTCCTCAAATCTCCAGGCCTGCTATTTGAGGAGGAGAAGGGGAGAGGAGAATAGGAGGTGACAACCAAAAGAGTCTCTAGCTTATGAGCTTTTGGTTCTCTCCTATTTATAGAGGTCCCCTATCAACTTAACCCTAATGGATCTTGCCTTATTGGGTACTGGATCTCCTTTCAACTACCCAAGCCTCTTTTATTAATGGATCTCTATCCAATAATCTCTCATTGTCTCTTATTGGATCTCATCCATAGGATTAATAATTCAGAAGCTTATTGGATATCAAATAAGATAGGGGTTCTGGCGGATATCTTATATTCGAACCTCTACTCGTCGCAATGCCTATCATATGTGTGTGACCCTCTAGGACCAATATCGAGTTGGCCATGAGTCATACCTGTCAGAACTCCTTCTAACTCAGTGAATTATTATCTCCATAATAATTCACTCGACTCATTGACTGCGAACGTACTAGACTACTACGCCGCAGTCCCCAGATGATCTGAGTCGATTTTATTGCTGCGACGCTTGTATTTATCAACAATCGATTCTTGCATAGCATGCATATATTCTTCCTATTCCTTGGCCTTCTTTTTAATTGCATTATCACTTGCTTGATGTCGCTTCTGTTGAAATAATTGATGAATCTCTGTTGGAACCTTTTTGTATTTTGGAACATCGGAATAGTTGCCGGCCAAATGTTGCGTCAGTCGAGTGATTTTTTCGCTCCGGTTGATGTAGTCACAATGAATGCACTGCCAATGATGACGATTCTCGTCCAAACGACGATATGATCCCAAGCATCATCATGTTCTTGTTTCTTTGGTGCCATGTATTTACAAAAAATTATCAAATTAACAAGCAGCAATTAGCCTTAATTTTCATCGAATTTGAAATAATAAGCTGTAATTAAATGTAATGAACCCTATTTTGCTATTATAAACGTGCCAATCATCCTAATAGATTTTAAATGCATAGAGTTGACCCAATATAGGTCAAAATATGATAAATCATCATTAAATCCACTAATCACATCATTAAAAAACTTAATTACTCTTTAATTAGCCCTATTTTACCACTTTAAATATGTCAAACATCCTAATAGGCATTACATATATAGAATTGATCTAATATTGATCAAATTACGATGCAATCATCTTTAAATTCACTAATCACAGCATTAGAAAACCTAAGTACCCCCTAATTAGTCATCTTTTACGACTATAAACATGTCAAAGTGCCTAATAGGCATTAAATACATAGAATTAACGTAATATTGGTTAAATCACAAAGAAATTATAATTAAATTCACTAATCACAGCATCAACTTATTTAATTACTCCCTAATTAGTCCTCTTTCACCACTATAAACATGTCAAACATCATAATACGGATAAAATACATTGAATTGACTCAATATGGGTCAAATTTCTATGAAATCAACATTAAAACCACTAATCACAGCAATAAAAACCTTAATTGAAACTTAATTAAACCTCTTCTACCACGTAAACATGCATATCACTCTAATATGCATTAAATACAAAGATTTCATCAAATATGTGTCTAATTTTGATTAAATCAGCATTAAAAGCCTTAATTACTCCCTAATTAATCCTATTTTACCATCATAACATGTCAAACAACATAATAGACATTAACCACATAGAATCTAGAAAGAGAATACATACCTTTTGATTAGAGTGATCCTTCTCTAACTTAAGTGTTTAATTATCCCAAATGAGCCTCCCGAATTTGATCCAATCCATAAATCACAACTTTACTTGAGTTTAAGAGAGTGAAAATGCGAGAATGAGAGAGATGCGAGTGAGAATGAGTTTTGAGAGAGTTGAAGAGTTTGAGAGAGTGAATGGTGTTCAAAGAGGGGAGAAGAAAGGGTTTAAAAACCCTTTGAATTCAACGGTTAAATTGACCGTTGGAAATAGGTAATTCTCAGCCCTTTTATCAGTATCAGTTGAAATCCGACCATTATCGACCTGTACCCCTTTGATCAGTATCGATCAAAATTCGATCGTTACCTACTAGTACAGGTTGATAATACTTGAGTTTTGACTGTGTTGCCTGGTACAGGCCTTGTATCGCCCGATACGGGGTACCTAATACATAACCACTTGGTATAGAGCGGTCCACATGCCAATCACCTATTGGACCGATACGTACCACCTATACCATACTATGTCGAGCGATATAGTGAACCTTGGAACATTATGGGTTTTTGAAAATCATGTACTTGAGTTGGCATTTGATTGATTAAATACGATGTAGTTAGGACTTAGGATAGGCTCTCCCCAAAGATATTTACAAACTCCTGTAGTAAACATAATGGCTCGAGCTCTAATTGATTGTAATTTTTCCTTTCAGAAATTTCTTTTTGTTGCAGTGTATCTACGCAAGATGTTTGATTGATAATGCCCTTTTCCATTAGAAATTTATTAAGAATGGGTTTGAAGTACTCTTCTCCATTATCAGTTCTAAGGATTTGTATTTTGGCATGTAATTGGGTGTTGACCATGTTATAAAAGTTTTGAAACACATTTGTAGTCTCAAAATTTTCTTTTAACAAACATACCCAACAAACTCTAGTATGATCATCAATGAAGGTAATAAACTACCTAGTTCTAGTAATGTTTTCGACTTTTGAAGGCCTCTAAATGTTACTGTGGATTAAATAAAAAGGTCGAGACTATTTGTATGGCTGTGAAGGGAACATGACATGATGTTTGGCAAGTTGGCAAATTTCACACTGAAATTTAGTGTTATTATTAAAAATAAAAGGAAACAACTTGTTCGAGTACATGAAACTAGGATGACCTAATTTATAGTGCCATAACATTATTTCTTTTTTATTAGAAGAGAAAGAGAAAATGCCTGCTTGAGCTTGTCGATCCAAGGAAGCATCACCTTTTAAGTAATAGAGTTGATCAACCTCTCTAGCACTCCCAATCATCCTCGCCGAGCATATATCCTGAAACTCACAATGAGATGGAAAGAATTTAGCCACACAATTTGAATCTTTGGTGAGTTTACTTATGGATGCGAAGTTATGAGATAGGTTAGCAACATCTAGAACAATTCTCATAAGTAGATTCTTTGAGAGAACAACAAAATCTTTTCCTGCAATTAGGGACAAAGATCCATCAGCAATACAAACTTTAAGGTTACCAGGACATGACATGGAGTATAGGAGAACCTGTGAGAAAGGCTGGTCATATGATCACTAACACCTGAATCAACTGTCCAAAGTGCTTGGTTAGAGGAAATGTGGAGGGCAGTAGGAGTATTACCTTGCTTTACAAGAGAACATGTAGGAGATGGATTTGTGGTGGCCTAAGATTGGCTAAAAACTCCATACAGATGTTCTAGTTGTTCCTTATTGAAAAAAGGGTGTCTGGAAGCCTACTTAATTTCCTCCAACTTGAATCTCTGTGGTTGTCTGCATTGCTACAGTGTACTGGTGCACTGTACTGCTATTATAACAGTGTACTGAAACAGTACTGTACTGTTGCAGTGCTACAGTACACTGTACTACTACAGTGATACAGTGCACTGCTACAGTCGGACCGGTAGCGAGCGGTCCGCGTACCATTAGCCTATCGGACCGGTACATACCGCCCATACCGGGCGGTACGATTCGGTATGGCAGACCTTGGGTCTAACTCAACCAATATACCTCGTAGATTATTGTAGTAATTTGTGACGCTTGATGTACCTTGCTTTGCCTTTTGAAATTTTCTTTTGATTTGGAAAATCGTGGAAATGAAACCTACTTTGGAGTAGGTTTTATTGACAGCACTCCAAATATCTCTAGCCATAGGAAGAAGGTACGTCTTGCTGATTTCTGGTTGGATGGAGTGAAGCAGCCACAATATCACCGTTGCATTCTCGATCTCCCAAGTTTCGTATGAAGCATCTTTCGAGGCTGGCGCATTTGCAGCCCATTCATATTTTTGAACTTCCCTTGACTCATTAAAGAAATCTTCATTGATTGAGATCACTCCATAAAATTTCTCCCATTTAGTTTAACGGTAGAGATCTGGAGGGTATGACTCTCAAATTGAAGGGAAGATTGAGTGTGAACAGCTTTAGGAAGATAGGAAACAAACTTAGGAGTTTTAGATATGGCTAGAAACAAAGAGAGTTGCTAGAGAGGACTTTTGGCAATGAAGGCTGAGTGAAAGAAATAAATATGCCATATGCAACAATCGACAGAGAGAAAAATCAAAACCTAACCTTGCTTTGATATCATGAACAGGACAACAGAAGGAGAGAATTTCACTTTTCTATATCGTTGCTTGTATACATGATGAAGTTCATATAATCAAACAAGAGCCAAAGAAAAAAGGAAAGAACTACCTAAATAGATCTAGGTGCTAATCTAGGAAATACAGCTAGCAAATATAAACAAATGAGGTAATATAATTAGGAACGAATCAATAATTATATCCTAGTCTATCATACCAAATAAGGTAGTATGTCGAGAATCAAATCACAGCAGATCTTGACAGATCTCAACAAATCAAATCACAACAGATTTTGACAGATCTCAACAGATTAGTGTGGCAAACAACGACAGTGGGGAGATAGGCGGCGTTCGAATGGCAGCAGAGGTCCATGATTCAACACCCACCTAGTCGTACGAAGAAGAGGGTTCATGAATTGAATATATAACTTTAAGTTTCTTTACTTTCTTTAATGGGTCAGACTAGACTGTCTGAAATGGGGTGATCCATGTATCGATTCACACCAGGACTGGTACCGGTACGTAATGCCTATTTCATATTGGTCTGAGTGAGACGACATTCCATGGTTTAAAATTTTGAGTAGATGTACCAACACATGGCACGCCGACAGTCGGTCAGGGTTGATAAGGGTGGAGGAGAAACAAACGGGAAGAGGAGAAGGCGGAGAATCAAGCAACGGCAATGGGCTGTGGTGAATGCGATGGTGTTTATATCAGTTTGGGTGACAGTGAGAGAGAGGAGTTCAAAATAAATAAAACAAGCCAAACCCTAAGTGGGTTTACTGTCCGGTTTTAGAGGATTACCATATGGAACCCTAGAACTGGACCTGGACTGCCCAAAAATAGACTGGCAAGCATTCGCCCGTTGTGTTTTTTGGTCCAAGCAGATTATTAAACCATCCTTTTCATGTTGGGTATAAAGATTTACATTTACTTTCATTGGAACAAACTAATTTAACTTTATATATTAGTTTTTTTTTTCTTGCATCATAGATTAATTTAACCCTTAAGTGTATTACAAGGAGTTCTTATGTATTAAGTCAATTTTTTATACTTGGAGCATTTTGTTATTTATATTATAGTACTTTAAATTTCTTCATGTTTTATGAAATTCATAATTATGATATGTGAATGCTTTAATTTGCAACTTTCCCTTTGGAATTATATCCAATAGACTACCTAAAACCAATATAGAGAATCATTTTTGGTTTAAAGTTCCAACTGTTATGTTTTAGAACAGTGCCAACTGACACAGTGTTGGATGTTTTGCTTATTCAGGAATTTGGAGCGCATTGTTCTTGTACATTATCGTCAAACATCAGAGGTTTTACCCTTTGAACCCTGTAGAAGCTCTGTATTAATTTTCATGTCTATCATATTGACATATGATAAAAAATTGACTTATGCATGTATTGCTCAATGCATAAATGCCAATTCAGGTGGTTGAGAAATAGGCAATTACTCATGGTTGAGGTGCCTATCTTGTGGCTCTTTTCATGCCTTCTTTGAGAGGCATAAAAATTTGGTTTGTCCATTCTTCCTGTGCATGGGAAGTAATGTGATCTTTCATCGCATGCTCTTGGACATTAAATACTGTGTAAAACCGGAATGAGGCTGTTTACTAATTATGTTTAAGCTAGATGGTATGAATATTTAAACAGGGACACCTTTTCCTGATTATTTTTTCAGCTAGATTGCAAGAATATTTAACCAGGGACTGAAATTTCAGAAGCACCTTATGTGATGGCTGGCAGCTGACCTTTTCATGTTGTTCTCACTTCTCATGTCAACTGAACATAGTGCCTATGTATCACAAAACACAAAAGAAAATAAAATCTGAAATAGGGTAAGATCTGTCGTAAACAAGGAAAACATTTTTCTTTGGTCACAATTGAATTGCAAGCTCCATCTTGGTCTTCTCTCCTATCTCCTCTTTGATGAGGTGAAATTGTACGGGAAACAACCATATAACATAAGCAATCACCCACTGATTCTCTATTACAAAACATTAAGACTGATGGATTTTATTAATGGACTAGTCTGGTTCAGTCCTTTCTAATTTAAAGGACTAGTCTGGTCCTTTTTAAGTTAATGAATACTTGGTCTGGGCCTCAAACATCCAATACATCCCTAAAGTCCTTCAAGTTTGGGTGCCAATAAAATGGTGTGCATAGCATGCCACCCATTTCAGTAAAAAGGCAATTCTCAGGCCGTGTATCTAGCCATGCTAGTTGTCAGATTTTTATCAAAATCTTAGCATACTCTAGGAATCAAAGAGCAAAATATTTCTCTTTGTCTAATGGTATTAAGAAAAGACAATTCTCTAGAACATTGAATTGAGAGTTAGAGTTGAATTGAATGACAAGAACCTTAGCAATAAGTCAAACCTTTTGATTTGGTAACTGGCCTACAAGTGATAAGATGCAGATTTGCTTAAAAAATCTAGTTATATTCAGATTTAAAATTCATTGATTGTTAATTTAGGTAATTAGTTAAGTGTTTGGGTTCGAAATTAGGTTCATCAGAATTTGTTTATGTATGCTAATTCAGCCACAACTTACAGGGTGATTTAGTAACCTTTTGTAGATGATAAAATTTTTCTGCACCTTAGGTGATTCAGTACCTTCTATCAGATTTCATCTTCTTCCTTTTAATGTGTTATATTTTGTAATACCCATTGTGAAGAACATCTTCTGATGTAGTATCTATGTTTTTCAATAAGTACATCCTTTAGTACATTCTCAGATGTGTGGTTTTTGAGTTTGTGTGTGATATTTTGTACCAACATTTATCAGCACTGGAGGTCAAGTTCAGCCAAGGGTGACAAACCCTTTTACACATTGTTGCAACGTTTTACACAAACCCCATGCCATTTTATGTCAGCTGGCCTGTATCATGGTTACAACAACCATCATGCCTGTGAAAATTGAATCCTTAACTATACGTAGATGCTTATGTCTGCATTAAACATACTTATAATGTAATGTAGTCTCTCTGCCTTCATATTCTTGGACTCCATTTTCTTTCTATATATCTAAATAGCGTTGGTTTTGAATGGTTTGTATGCGGCTCAAACACGTATTTTGGGTGATGGTTTCTCATAACCAGTTAACTCTAGCGTAAACAAATGAAAATGATTTCCTAGACTGTCAGCATTTCTTGAAATTTCTGCTTCTCGATTGTGGTGACTTCTACATAAACTAATCAGGCTTATTTCTTTGTTGCTTTCCATTAAACTTTGTTTCAGATTTCGTTGCACAAATAACCCACTAGGTTGGACTTTCTAAAGTAACATCTTTTAAAATAGGTTTCAGTTAAAATCAATATCAGCCATCTGGGAATAATATCAGCATGGGGACTGTGCTAACAGACCATTTGATTGATTATGCCAGCCAGTGGTATTCTTTTTGTTATCTGTGCTGGCTAGCCAACACATACTGTTCAATCAAGTTACAGCTCTTGGAATGATGCTGAAAGTTGGTTCCTTGCATAAAATATTTTCTTTGATCTAAGTCTGTTTCCTTGTTTTGTTCATGACATCAGGATAATGTGTTTCAACATATTCCTGCATCAGTGGAATGTCCAGAGGCTTTATCCTTGAAGAACAGGTTGCACATTGATTCTCCATCTACACCAATGCATTCAGCTAGTGGTTCTGCTCACTCGGAGGTGTTAGGATCTGCAGTTATTTCAGAGGAAATTAACTCTGGAGAATACCATGTCAGCTGCACTAGTGAGACAAAACCAGTCTACTGTCTGATCTGCCTTCTAAGACTGCCGTTATATAAATTGCTTACGAGCGTCGAGTACATGAACTTTTCTACAAACTAAGTTTACAATGATTTGTTGTATGCCATTTTTTTTTCAGCTTTTTCTTGATAATGCTTAGTCATAATGGATGATGTAAACCTCTTACAAAAATATTTAAAATTTGTTCAGTTAAAACCTCCTGAGAACAATGAAATTAATTTGAACTGAATGATCTGATCAAATGGAAGTATTAGTACTATCTATATAGAGATTTACAATAGCTTATAAACTTCCCATCAACCAAATGCAGTAGCTCATAAATTTCATAGAAGTGTTGAATGCTTTAACTTTTTCTATAAACTTAGTTTCAAAGATTACTTTTGTTGTACGCCATTTCTTCTCATTTTTTCTTGATAGTGCTTGGTCATATTATCACATCAGAATGGATGGCATTACTGGTCCTTGTATTATTTCATTTGCTGTGCTTATAGTCTGTATGTTCCAAATCATTTCATATCACCTGCCCGTGGTGCCAGCTTAGAAGTTGATACAGTTTCATCAATATTCTAAATTTCTAATTGCCTTCCTGGAGATTTATATGTCCTCTTATGTTGCAGGTTCTGGAATATCAGGGCTAAATAATTCGACCGAATTTCAGAATCATGAGTTGAGTCTTCATGAGATCAATACATTGGAATGGGAAGAACTTGTTGGATCTAATGTACAAAATCGTGCAGCTATAAATAGGGATGGTAATGACATAAGTTAAAAAAGTTCTACATTATCCAAAAGTCTAATGATGGTTTATGTGGCAGGTGATGCTTCATCCTGTGACCAACAAAGGAGTGGGTTCAAAAACTCCATGAATAATGTGAGTAATCTGTTGATTGGTATCAGGAGAAATGTAGGAAATTTTTTTTTACGTGATTATTTTTAGATAAAAGTTGTTTATACAATTACTCAAGTGAACTAATCATCAAGGATTTAAATCTCCATTTGATATGAGTGTTGGTGACATACCAGATCCGTTAAATACTAGTAATACACCGACCTGCACCATTTGATATCGTTTAATATAATTTAAAAAGATATAAATGAATTTTTTATACTGGTATCGAACTATATATTCTGAAATTGGTACTTGTTTGGGCCGGTAAATACTAGTTTGTGCCTTGTACTAATATGTACAATCAAGATGTGGAACCTTTGTTATCATAATGTGCTCAATGGACATAATGTCATGAAGGGATGTAGCCAACGTGTTTTCAACGCATGATTGTGGCACTCTTCGATTTTGTTTTTGTGTAGTTTTTCAAATTTTTTTGTATGTTTATCTTAGGTAGATCGTATGGGTTATGAAGTACTAATATCGACCATATTTTGCTTTATTGAAAGTGTTTTAATTTTTTTTCTTTCTTGTAAAACTCAAAAAAATGTTTTTTTACATAGCACAACCCTAAGTAGACAAAGCTCTATGGAAGAAACAAAAAGCAGTAAATAGTTGGTGGCACAACCCTGAATGAAATAGAAGCGCTAAAGAAAAAAAGGCTAAGTTGGAGTTGTAGACTCAACATTATCAACCAAGAGTTGATGGGGCTCTATAGAAGTGGTGAGTCGTTTGAGATGGTAGTGTATGCACAAGAAAGGTGAGAATCTCGATTGAATTTGCTGGAGATCCAAGTTGGAAGGTTCACGAATGACATAAAAGAGTCTATGTAATACTTACGAGAGCAAATAAGGGAATTGATGGATCATGCGTCGGTGCTCATGCAAGCCATGCATGCGAGCGGAGCAATGTCTCGCGACCATCTCTTATCAAGAGTGAGAGCTCCCAAACCAAGAGTTATGTGGGTGCTTGGGATGTTAAGGAGTTAAAAATCTTTCTCTTTGATATAAATCAATACTTCATAGCTACCAACCCGAATTAGTAGACTCCAAGGCGTCGTTAGTGACGATGTCTCTCATCGATGATGCAAAACTATGGTGGTGCACACGTTGGGAGGAAATACAACAAGATTGCTGTAACATTGACACTTGAGAAGCCTTGAAGAGGGAATTGTGGACTTAGTTTATGTTAGAGAATAACAACTTCGCTAGACTTTTATAACTAAGGATTATGTGAAGCAGTTTTCAACCCTAATGTTAGACATCCGAGATATGTCTGAAAAGGACAAACTTTTCTACTTCCTCAATAGTCTAAAACCAAAGGCTTAGCAAGAGTTGCATCATTAGAATGTCTATGAGCTATAGATGATGGATAAAGAGTACAAATACTCATCGGAGAATAAATTTTTGAAAGCTTTCAAAGGAAAGGTTGCACCTCTCGGAAGCATCGAAATAGCAATGAGCAAAGATATGCTCTAAAGCAATCTATTGTCCAATAGTTTATTTGAAAGGCCCTAGACCCACTTCGAAAATAATGCCAATGTGGATGGTCAACTAGATCTTTGACTTCTTCAATGAGTTCGAACTATCATTTCAATTTGCATCCTCGTGGAAAGGACTTTGGCAACTGATTTAGTGGCACACCAGTGTATTTTTTGAGTGTCTTTGTCTCGATGAACCCTTGCACTGCGTTAAGACCTTCTAACTCCAATTGCATTGCTGTGGAATGAGTCATCTTTCCGCCTTGATTCCTTCATCACCATCATAGCTGAGTAAATGATTGTCCTTTGAAGCTCTCCATTTCCAATCCATCTGAGTAAATGCTTGTCCTTTGAGAAAGTCACAATCTATCTGAAAGAGAATTCATGAATATATGGTATTGCCTCCTACAAAAACTCTTAATCCAAGAGAAGCGGTATGAATTTGGTGATGTAGCTTCGATCTCCAATCTGGTTGTCGACAACCTTCGAATCCAAAAGTAGGCTCCATCTCTGAATTTACTACCTTCATACGACTCGACCTCTTTGACAACTTTAATTCAAGACACTTTGCCCATCGGTCCACTTTCAAGTTGTGTATGATTCCTATATCCAGCGAGTCGCTTTCTCATACAATTTGATGTCCACGAACATTAATAGGTTGTCATGTGTCTTCGCCTCTTTCGATGTTGCCTTTGATTACTTTCCCACTTACCTCATAGTGCATTCAATAATTACATCGCCCTAATGCGAGGCCATAGTGACAATCCTTCATCGTTGCTCGATTCCGCCCTAATGCAGGTTACAGTGCTACAGTGCGATCGCTCACCGCGCCGGACAAAACTACCCCAAAATGGCTCCGTTTTTCATGCCACGACTTGTTTTCTGCAAACTGCAGCGGCATGCAAAATGTCAACCATCTTAGCACCTTTGAACCCCCTGGGTGGTACAGGGCTGGATGGGGCTTCGGTATATTGTTGGGCGTTGAATAATTTTCACAAGTTCGCATGTTAACTTGACGGGAACTTGCCTTTGTGCCCGGCACCCGGTGAGCAGTTGTTCATGGACTTGCAACTATTCGTTCTACCTTCTAAAGTCCTTGTTTTCTCTTTCATCTCTTTTCTCTCTTGCACTAAAGGTGCTCGCTGAATTGCTTGTAAAGCTTCCCTCTTCGCGAGACGTTGGGACTTGTCCGTCGCTCATTTTCAATCTAATTAACTTTCTGTTTTACAGGTCCTTTGGGACCTGTACGAGGTTGCAACTAGGCTGACCCTTTGCGGACGCATATGTCACAAGGGCGCCTCATGACTTAGGCAATCCTAGCTAAGTCCGAGGAGTTGGCGCAAGAGTGCTTCACGACTTAGGCATTTCTAGCTAAATTTGTAACTTTGCTGCAAGAGTGCCTCACGACTTAGGCAACTCCAGCTAAGTCCGTGACAGTACGCTACATCTCCTCGCCTTTGTTAAATCTTTAATCTTTTGCTTTAGTTGCAATGCTCCTCTCTTGGCTTCCAATTGTTCTCCGTCGCTGTTTTTAAGTAGTCAAACTTTGATCCGCTAATGTTGCTTCAACTCATTAGTGACTCTGACTCTAGTGTGGGGTCTGTTGAGTTGTACTGATCTTTGCTGGTTCCTATTGATTCGTTAGATGAAGAAAAAGACCTTTGTTGTGCATCAGTCTCTCAAATGTCTTGCGCCGCTTGAATTGGGTGGATGCTTGTTAGAGCTTTAATGAGCATCACCTTGTAGACTTTGAAGTTTTTGAGGTCTTTTATTTGTAAAATTTGCCCATTGATTCTCTTCTGCTTAGTTTGCTGCCTTCGAGTAGGTTTTCATCACTTCTGATTTCGATTGACATTCTGTTGGAACATGAAGCGGACAATCTACTCGGTATAACCGATTACCATTGGGAAAGATTTGACAACTATTATCTATCGCTAAGTCTCCTCAAAGGGTCTTCAAACATATGTGGAGCTCCTCTACTGTATAACTAAGAGAACTAGGGTATTTTGTTTTGTCTATTCTCTCAAGAGTTAAGAAAGCTAAAAGATACTTGACATCGCCGGTCTCCTTGAGAGTTGTACTTCATGCATCAAGCCGGTTACTAGCCTTCATTTGCTCTTTGCTCACACTTCTGAAGCACCTGAAGTGTTTATATTCCCTACGTTGAGTTGGCTACTACAATTTGCCTTCTCATTTTCATCAAACTTTTGGAATGCAAGAAGTTTTGTTCGAAAAGAGCAAAATTTTACCTCGACTTATTGTGAATCTCCGATAGTTTTGGTCACCTCTGGGATTGTATCGCCTTCTACATCATTTTTGTCACCTACTCTTTTAAGCAGAAAGGGTATAGAACCACGTACTTCCTGCTCCATTCTTTGGTCGAGCACTCTTGCATTGACCCGAGATCCCCCATTTTTAGTGATCTTGGTGAGACGACTGTCGACATCAGTTTTATGAAGTTCCACCTCTTCCCTTCTGCCTTGTATTGGTACGTGGAGTTTGCCTCTGTATTCTCCATCTTCTCAGACCCTTTTCACGACCATGTGCTCTCCCTTTATGAGAGCAAGGGATTGATGACCAAGGCTTTTATCCGATGCAAAATTTAGTGCATGCGTGGAAGATCCATATCTGTGGTATTATGACATTCACTTATTGAATTCATAGCCCTTTTTGTCGCGTGTTGCTCACCAAAGTGAAGCTCCTAGTAGCTCTCAATCTTACCTCCTTATGACCAAGTCCCTCACGAGACTTCTCTCATGTGGCGTATTTTCTCGAATTGTTCCACCATGATCTGTTGCACCATGTTGCCTCTTAGTGACATCTTCATTAGGTTTTAAGCTTTGTGGGATGAACTCGGACTGCGATCTATCTATATATGGCCTTTGCAACTTTCTATTATGTTCGCTCCTTTGGCAATCAACCTTCGTCCACCTACTCTTGGGTCACACACAGACGAAGTGTCGCTCTAGGACAATCCGTCGCCTAGCAATTTTTGAAGTCCATCGATTTCACTAAAATTGGTGCGCCATTGTCTAGATCCTGGGCCCTTACCCTAAACACAATCTCCATTGCGCACAGCTTCCTTCGTGACAACTCGAATGGTAACATTGCAACATATTCTTTAAGAGTAATTGCCTTTGCATCCTCTTGCCCTGTGCCAAGGCCTTTTAACCCCAATTTTGCTTTCGCAAGTTGAGTCGTCTTAGTCTCTCAGTCAATTGCTTCGTTGTGATAAAATGCATGTGCCTCGAAGCTCCCTTCGACTTTGGTACCATGCAAGGTGAGTTTGTTCCATCAAAACGAGAAACCTATGGAATGATATGATCTCGCTCTTGTCTCTGCAAGAGTTTGTCCTTGATTTTTGTTCAAGGAAAGCTTCGCTCTTCCACTCTATGTTCCGTCTTATATGTCGATTCTCTTCATGTGTCTTGGGTACTTTCCCAAGCTTCACCTAACTTGCTACATTCCTCAGTTTGCATTGAGTTGATGGTGGCTCTCACGCCCA